AAGACTTGATCGATCTCTGCCGCCGTAGTGCACCTCAGATCAGAAGCCGGTATGCTAGGCACTGGGGTAAGATTGCGGTCTTTTATGGGCCACCTATGTGAAGGAGTCCGTAAGAACTCTGACTCCCGAATAGGCCTACATGTATGGTCCAGAAAATCAGCTCAAAAAGATCTACATCTGTATCTATAATTTTTACTTTTTATTATATATTTTTTGTACTAATTATACATTTAATATTCTTGCTTCGTCACATAGTTTTACAAGAAAAATCCCTTACCTTTCAGAAAATCAACCTGCAGTCCATGGTACGCGTACGCATTGCTTGCTTCAGCTAGGGTCCTGCTTCGGGCCTGGGCCACAACCTCGCTATGGTTCCTGCACACCCATCCTGCCTTGACCGAGAGCAACTAATCAGCGAGTACTCTTTCAAAAGCCCTCGCAAGGGTCATTTTTCGTGGGTTGGCAGCGCGTCATTTGGCGCGCTCTCAGCCGCCGTCACATGTCGCGTTATTGGCGCTCCCTTCAGATTTTATTAATTTTTTTGTATTTTCTGTTTTTCGGTATTTCCCCGGCTTATCTTAGGTTTTGGACCCCCAAAAAATCAAACTTCTTTTTGCACGAAAAACGTGTTTTATTTTTTCCCCTTCCGCGATAGGCACATATTTACTTATCACGGAGCCATAGAGCCAGGCGCTAGGACGTGCTTGCCCCTTGTTTAGAGCTTGCGTGATCGTGTCAGCATCAGTCGGTCTGTCATCGAGCTGCGGATTGTGTTGACCAAGTAGGTTCTTCACAGGCCGGCGATGGTGATATGCCTTTTGTGCTTCAGTTCAGGCTACGTCGCCTCCTGAGTCGACCGACATGGGCAGGGTTCTCTTCGGTGAGGTCTTAGTCGGCAGTGGTGTGCTCCGCCGTCGGTGTTGGTCTTTGTGGTGACCACTTCGACATGCGACGACAGACTCACTCTGGAGTGTGGTGACCACCCAAAGGTCTTACAACGTTACCTTCTTGAACGCATTGTGCCGATATGCTCGGTCTGTTTCTTTAGAGTGAAAAACTTAGATTCTGGTCTTGGGTGGATGGATCCGGTGACGCCGACGCATGAGCGTTAGTGTCTTCCCCAAAGTGTTGTTGTTGAAGAATTTTGTCATCCACGTGAATGTGATATGATGAGATGGTTGGTGTGGATGGTCACTTGTGTAATTTGCTAATCACGGGTCTGGTCGTTTTTCTTTTCTTTCCTCGCACATGCATAGTTTTGGTCTTATTTGACTTTGCTATTTGCCACCGTGTATTTTTATGTTTGTGCATTGATTTTGACGTGTATTCTAACTATACAGAACCCAGGTTTATGCTCATTGATTTTGTATTCTCTTGATACTTTATTCTAAGCCTTCATAAAAAAACAGACTTTTGATAGAACAAGGAACTAGTTTGCAAGCAATCTTGCACAACCCAGTAAGTAAGTACACATGCCATGCTCACCATCCAGGGCCGATCGCACGTTGCTCTCGACAATTTCTTTCTGCAAAGAACCTTTATCGCTGACCCGTTTCGACGAGAACACACGAGTAGCACAGCTGCACAGGCACGGATGTCACGAGTTGATGCCCAGAGAAACGTGCCGCCCATGTTCATGATGAAGAGAGTGACGGTTGAGCTGCGCGCTCGACGGTGGCGCGTTTGCTGGAGCGGCAGAAGGCTCCGTGACTACCAAATCCTTGTCAACACAAAGACAAAGGGTCCCCACAAACCACGAATTAGATAAACACAGTACAAATACTACAACCTTCGTTCACAAATACATATAAGATGTTTTAAAAAAATTCTAAATTGAATGTATATAAACACGTTTTAGTGTGTTTGTTCACTCATTTCAGTTTGTATATAGTCCATATTTTAAAACATTCGAAACATCTTATACTAGTGAAGGTAGGGAGTAGAAGATAAATCCTTCGATGGATTTAGATATAAATTTGTGTATTTAAAAGACAACAACCTAAAAAGCAAATGTTCCCGAGTAGCAATTCCCGTTTATTGTAAAAAAAGAGGTACAATGACACACAGTATTATGCAACTATTGTATACAAAACTGTGGAAGAGGGATGCCGCAGGAGGTGACGGTGTTGCGGGCGAAGCTGCCCGCGAAGTGGCGCCGGTACCTCGGATTGGCCAAGTACATGCAAAGGAACTGTTTCTGCGCCCAAAGGTTCAAGCAACACAATGCCGAGGGCGCAGTACCGTACTTGTTCGCCGTCTGGCAAGAAGTAAGCCTCTCCGGGTGTTGTGGCTTTGCCGCCATCGCACCCGCCACCACAACCGCTACGACCAGCACCCACACGGGCACCGTCACTGTCCTGGCCATGATCTTTCGCGACTACAACTCCTCCCTAAACACAAAGTCTGGCAAGGTAAGCAAAGCGAAGCACACCTCTCGTATTTATATGCAACAGCGAGGCATTTGCAGGCAGTGTGTACTATGCATGAACGCTACTAAACTAAGCCTTGGGTGTACGCTTCACCAAGCATTCTTAGCCAGAAATCACTAATGGATCCATTAATATGATACCAATTTTGGCACTGAAATTCTAGATTCTACTGTGCCAAATTGCATTGCAGTTATGTGGCTAGTTGGATATATGGATGACCAGCTTACTACTTCAGTCCTGCTTTATTTGTCCCCTTTTTATTTTTTTGTCAAATTTGACCATAGATTTAACTAACAAAATGTTAATGTATGTCATAAAAAATTATAGCATTGGATTTATATTTGAACACAGTTTTTGGTAATATTATTTTTTCTATGTATAATTTATATTTTATTAGCTAAAATCACGGTCAAAATATGACCTGAAATACGAGGGGGCTAATAAACCAGGACGGGGTAGTAGCTCAATACTTATATATATAATTAATACCAATCAGCTATTAATTTAGTCCATTTTTTACCATGACATTATAGCATGCCAAATTATAATGCATTGATATGGATGACTACAATTTTATAATGGAGTACTTACAAGACGGGTACCTGGACGCCATCACATGCATCCTTACGGGCTAGTATTTATTTGTGGCATCATATGTTTCTTGTATATCATTTTAGAACTTGGTAGATGGCTATTAAAAAGGAATAATTAGATGAAAAGGACAGATAAAGATTTCTAGAAATAGGAGAGATAGCTCACATTTTTTCTTCGTTTTTGGTTCACCATGTTTGCATCATCTTGGTCAGGGATTAGTAAAGTAAAATGAACTTTTTACACGAAGGACCATCACTTACGGGAGGAAACCGGATCTTCTAACATTGAGAAGGAAAGTTAGAGAAGCTATAATACCTAACTTTTCTTCTTTCTATCTATATGATTATAACTAAAACAGCTTAAATTAATTCACAAATTAATGACGATGGTATACATTTATCGTAATTACATACAAACAAATTGATGATGAAATAAAATTAATTTTAAATTATTTATGTCTACAGTACATACCTACAGTAAATAACCTATTACTATCTACTAACGGTCTCTAACTTTCCTTCTTCATTTTATACTAGGCTAACACTATAGCACGGTGATTTTTCTTGTCAATGTTAGAGAATCCATTCTTTTACTGGAGTACTTTTTTGGAGTTTCTTTTCTCTGCCAAAGACATTTACCTCCCGCCGCCGGCGAGCACCCGACGGCGTCGCCGCCAAGAGGCTGCCGGGGACACTCATTCGCCGCCACGGCCGCCCCGTGAGAGCGCCCGTCTCCAAGTGCCTTAGCTCGCTCCGCCGCCTCTCCTCTCTTGCTGATGAGGCCGTCGGTCCACAGCGACCATCCACCACGGGCACCTCCTCCATCTCCTGCGGCGTCTCGTGACCTTCCCTGAGCTCTCGTCGCCGGCCGGAGCACGGTAGGGGCTCCGCGCAGTCGCCTCCCCTCCTTCCCCTTCCTCGCGCGCCGTACTCCCTCCCCCAACCTTCGGTCGCCAAATCGTCCGGCGAGGTGGTAGACGGCTAGACGCCCACAAGGTGTTTGCCAAATTGCCCAAGAGGTATTTTTTTTAATTTCTGGATTCTTGGCATCTACGATTTGGTTTGCTCAGTGACTTAGGCCCCGTTCGGATTCCCTCCCACTCCCCAACTCCGCTCATGCAGCCATAATCTGAGGAGTGGCTAGAATGACGCTCCCCGCGCTCCGCTCCGCAGTGGGGGAGTGGAGGGTTGCCCAACAGTGCCTTACTATTACCAAGTAAGTATTGGTAATTGTTCATGGGAACTTAATTTGGCCACCAATGATCACAATGTTGCTTGCTAAATAGTTTAGTGATTGGATATTAACCACGATAATGTGACAATATATATGATTACCAACCAATGTTCAGCTTGTAGTAATAACCAAGGACCTTGGTGACTAAAGGTCTAAATCTCTAGTAGTTATATAATAGTCCATCGCAATACCCAGTCTTAGTTTTTCCTCATTCAGTAGTTTCTTGTTAATGAAAAGCTAGATTATCCAGTAACATTTGTAGAAAAGTCAAATTTTCTTACATCTAGCTGACATGTTGACTTTTTCACTGATTGACCTTACCGTAATGATGGACCTGTAGTATTTTATCCGAACAGTCACAGAGGAATGCAGCGTACAGCTAGCTAGTAGATCTGAATGCAGAAAATACTACTACTCCACTAGAACGTGAATGTTCCTTAGCCTGCAAGGGGTAAGCTGCATGGACACATATATATTGCATCCGCAGTTGCACACTTGCAACTTCTATATACGTGTAAAAATACCACATCTAGTTCGTTCCCTCCAATCGAGGATAAGTGGACAAATTCAAACTCTGACCTGGCTAGCTTATCTCTGTCAGTCAGAGTCTTGGCATTGTTAGTTAAGAATTCCTGTATCAGATCGCCCCTCGATAAGTACGGTGGCCTAGCTTAGCTGTTGGTGCATTCCCTTGTAGCCAATTTAGCCATAATATTTTGCTTAGGAGTAGGAGGAAGGTCCCTAATGATGGCAGTAAACTGCACTCTTCAAATCCTCCTCCTCCTCTTGTTCATACTCCTCTCCCCTGTAGCCATCACCGCCGGTGCTACTGACACATTCGGCAAGGGCCAGAATGTCACTGACGGCGAGACACTCGTCTCGGCCGGTGGCACGTTTACACTGGGATTCTTCTCTCCCGGTGCGTCGGCCAAGAGATACCTCGGGATATGGTTCTCGGTGTCCAGCGATGCCGTTTGCTGGGTGGCCAACCGTGATCACCCTCTCAAGGACACCTCCGGCGTGCTGTTGGTGGCCAGCGACACGGGGGACCTTCTCCTGCTCGACGGCTCCGGCGAGGTGGCGTGGTCATCCAACTCCCCCAACACCTCCTCAGTGGAGGCGCAGCTTCTGGAGTCTGGCAACCTGGTCGTACACGACCAGAGAAGCAAAACTATCCTGTGGCAGTCGTTCGACCACCCATCGAACACCTTGCTGCCCGGCATGAAGATGGGCAAGAACCTGTGGACCGGCGACGAGTGGTACCTTACGTCGTGGCGGTCGCCGGATGACCCATCTCCGGGGAGCTACCGCCGCGTGCTGGAGTACGCGACTCGGCTGCCGGAGGTCGTCCTCTGGCAACAGGACGCCAAGGCCTATCGCACGGGGCCGTGGAATGGGCGCTGGTTCAACGGCGTCCCGGAGGCCTCGACGTATGCGCACGATTTCCCGCTGGACGTGACGGCCAGCAAGTCAGAGATCACATACGGGTACACCGCCAGGCCAGGCGCGCCACTCACCCGTGTGGTGGTGACGGACGCCGGCGTGGTGAGGCGGCTGGTGTGGGACGCGAGCAGCCTGGCGTGGAAGACCTTCTTCCAGGGGCCAAGAGACGTGTGCGATGCCTACGGAAAGTGCGGGGCATTCGGTCTATGCGACGCCAGCGCAGCGTCGTCGGCGTTCTGCGGCTGCCTGCAGGGGTTCAACCCCGCGTCGCCACCGGCGTGGTACATGAGGGAAACCTCGGGCGGCTGCCGGCGAAACGTGCCGCTGAACTGCGGCGGCAACGAGACAGCGACGGATGGCTTTGTGCTGGTCCGTGGCGTGAAGCTGCCCGACACTCAGAACGCGTCGGTGGATATGAGCATCTCGACGGAGGAGTGCAGGGATAGGTGCTTCGCCAACTGCTCCTGCCTGGCTTACGCATCCGCTGAGATCCGAGAAGGTGGCGGTGGCAGTGGCTGCATCATTTGGACGGGTGACTTGGTCGATCTTCGTTACGTGGACCGAGGGCAGGATCTGTACCTCAGGCTGGCCGGGCCTGAAATAGGTATGAAAACAATGACAGTCAACCTCATTTTTCAGTACATCAGTTCACTGGCTTTAGGCGATAGCTTTAAGGGTTGACTGCATGATCACACCAACAAGTATTTTCTTCTTCTGTAACAGCTGTGCCAAAGGGCTCGAAGTTTGCTATTGCGACTGTTCTTGCGCCGGTAGCTTCCGCTGTTGCTATAATACTTGTCTTGTTATTTGTCATTTGCTGGAGAAGGAAGCACAGAATCTCACGTAAACGACTAAACGGTACTCTGCCGTAGCTTCTAATCTCTTTGTTTTTCCTAATACACTTGCATAAATCTAACTCGGCTCAAACTGCAGATGGTATTCCACAAAGTTCAGCTATGACAGTTCCCTCGGTTGATCTGCACACTCTAAAGGAGGCTACACTGAATTTCTCCGAGAGCCATGTGATTGGTCAAGGAGGATTTGGCATAGTGTATAAGGTGTGCGCGCATCCATTTGATCCCCGCATCCAATTAAAAAGAATTTTTATAGAGATTATAGGCTAATTAAGAGCTTGATAATGGTACACTCACCAGGGCCAATTACCTGACGGGAGAACGATTGCAGTGAAGAGGCTTAGGCAGTGTGCTCTCACAAGGAAAGGCAAATGCGACTTCGCAAGAGAAGTGGAGGTGATGGCCAGGCTCAGGCATGGCAACCTTATTCGCCTCCTTGCCTACTGTGACGAAGGCGAAGAGAGGATACTTGTCTACGTCTACATGCCCAACAAGAGCCTCGATCTCTACATATTTGGTACATATACTTGCACAACTTGTCTTGTCTCTTATCAGAATTTGGAGCAAAATAGATCATTAGGTTCTCCTCTGTTTGTCTTTGCATTTGGTTTGCCAACAGCAAAAAAATGTTTGCACATTGCAGGTGAACCCAGCCTCCGTGCTACGCTGAGCTGGAGGCAGAGGTTGGATATCATCAACGGCATTGCACAAGGCGTGGCGTACATGCACGAGGGATCGGGCGAGAGCGTCGTCCACAGAGACTTGAAGCTTCAAAACGTGCTGCTAGATGACAATTGGCGGGCCAAGGTTGCGGACTTTGGCACCGCGAAGCTGTTTGTCGCTGAGCGGGTGGACTCTAGCCTCACCATCGTCAACTCACCGTAAGCCACTCTACTCTACTCTCCGTTCATATCTGCATGATTTTTTTTGTTTCGTTTGCAAATGTTGGGTGGGCTCAGATGATTTTACTGGTGTGTCATGTCTGTTGCAAAAAAAGTGGATATGCATCGCCAGAGTCATTGCGGGCGGAGATGACGCTCAAATGCGACGTCTATAGCTTCGGAGTCGTGCTGCTGGAAATCCTTAGCGGGCAAAGGAATGGCGAGACGCAGAGGCTCCTTTTACATGTAAGTAGAAACTGCATTGCCTCAATTGTCTACGGTCTTGGCCGTATCTCATGAAAATTATGTTAGGGATTCTCTTGTGTTTTGCAGGCATGGGGATTGTGGGAGCAGGACAGGAAAATGGCGCTCCTTGATCCGACGGTGAATCTCCCTCCCCTCTCCCGGCCTGATTCCGACGTAGGCTCTGAACTCGAGAGGTGCATTCAGATTGGCCTTCTCTGCATCCAGGAATCACCCGACGACAGGCCGGCCATGTCTGATGTTGTCGCAGTGCTAACCACTAAGACCTCACAGATCGCTCGGCCCAACAGGCCCGGAATATACAACCAACGAACAAGGTTTGTGACAGGTCAGGCGGATCTCACTAGGACCACAACGATCGATCTCGAGTAGAAAGATTTGAAATCAGAGTTTAGAAGAGCATGAAATGCCCAAGTGAGCTCATTTTTCGTTTATTTTGTTCCGTTGGCCGCTAGTAGCGTATTCGAAGATGAAGATATGTTCTACCAGAAAGTGTAACTTCCTCTGTTTTATCCTTTACTTGATGTGTTCCTTGTCCATGGTTAAAAAAACGCAAATGGTAAGGAAATGCTGGCATTAAAATGTACGTATACTCGCGATCTCTTCTCACAGTTTGAATTTGGGCTGTTACTAGTGGCACATGCGTGAGTGAATAATCGAGGGGAAACATGCGTTGGTTTTCGATACTAATGACAGACGGTGTGTGTTCATATCTTTGATAGGTAGGATTGTTGTCTCCTGAAATGGGCTATGGTAAGGCAGATCTCGGGATCATCAGTTCATCATCCTAGACCCAGCTGCTGGAGTTCTACGGTTGTCCTGGAAATGGGTCGCTGCAGCTTTTAATCCAGAGCAAATCAGAGTTTTCTGAACAAGGCAGGACACAATACACTATCAAAATAGCTACTACCTCTCTTCCAATGAACATTTAAAATTGTCTTACATTTAGGAACAGAGGGTGTAGATTGTATACGTAACAGTTGCGGCAAACTTGACACTGAAAAACAACCGTTCAAATTTTAGTGTGATGAAGACGAAAATTATGTAGATTTAGAAGAAGATCGTCTTTCGCCCACCTCAAGGAGAGGTGTGCTGCCATTATACTTGACCCACACCACCCGAAAAGCGTCCGTGTCAACAACATCACCACGAAACTTGTCCACGCCATCGACAACCACATCGCCATCAAGAGCCATGACACCGTCATGCTCCATCGTGGCAGCGTGGACTCGGCCGTAGAGGTTTTGAGGAGGAAGCTGGGGATTAACGCAAGGCCGGCAACCGGGCATCTCAATGGGCTCAAATGGGAGGTGATTGTCGTGAAAAAAAAAGCGTGTTGCTATGTGGAGCTACCCCGCTGGCAAGATCATAGTCCCCACTGGATTGCTCCAATTGTTCAATTCAGAAGATGCTGAAGTTGCCTTTATAATTGCTCATGAGGTAGGTTTATTGGATCAATTGGCTGATGTGTGCCTTTTGGATTTTCTCTTGTCAATTCAAACTAACTATCATTGGCCCTCTTTTATTTTTATAGATTGCCCACATCGTTGCAAGGCACGAGTGTCAGAGAGCATCATCTACAAGTGGCTTCCGAGACCCCTGAGGATGCCCTTCACCCGAAGGTATATTCACTTGTAAATCAACCTTTTTTTCCTTCTACAGTCGAGTGACGGAGCTCCTGCGCTTTTACACATAAAAGAAGGATATGAGCCACTACTGCTCTCCATATGAAACTGGCTGCTTGTTTGTCAGACACAGAAAAAAAGGAGTCAAACTCTAGTTATTATAGTAGAGAATGGACTTTTAGATCCCGGGTGCCTAGGCACCCTCTTATCTGTACCATCCATTCAAAATATAATGCCTAGAGATTTGAGCCAAGCATTGTAGCAATAGAATCCATTAGCAGTTCATGTCTTTCTTAAGCTCGGGTGTACCAAAAAATATTACACGGGTCTAGTCTAGCCCTGCCCTTCCTGGCATGATTCCACCTACTGAAAAAAGATGGAGATGACCTGTTGTTCTGCTAGACTATACAGGTTGAAGATTCCCCATTAACACCTTGGTGGCCACTCTCTGATGTGAAGGAAGAAGATGAACGCCTGTTATAAAAGCTCTGTTGTGGGTGCGGCATTGGTTGCACCACATGCACGCTGCCTATGACCAGTCCTTTCACCGCATGCACAAAAAAAAAGGACAAACAGCACCTCCCTGACAGTGACAGGTCTACAACAGTGCTGTCAAATCATCTCTCTCTCCATAAAAAAAGGTGCCTAGACCAGCCTTGTTCTGTCTCCTGCAGCCTGTAAAACAACTGCCTAATTAACATGCAGATGTAAGTGGCCTGCTGCTGTCTAATCATCAGCACGAATCTTCAAATCGTTGGACGCACAGGATAACAGGGTGTCAGGGCACCCGGGTGCTATGGCACCTTTCCGATTATAGTATAGTGATATCCCCTTTCCCTCCACGACAGTCCTTTCGGAACTAATCCATAAATTCCACAGTTTTCTTCCTTTTTTGCATTATCAATTCAATGTAAGTATGTCATGTTACAAGCTCTTCTGATGATGTTCATGATATGTAGGGCGGAGAGAGAGGCAGATCAGATTGGAATGATGATACTTGCTGCAGCCGGTTTTGATCCTCTCATAGCCCCACTGACCTTTAAGAAGCTAGGAGATAGTAATAGAAGATTCTTCTCTACTCATCCTTCAAATAAGAAAAGATCACAGCTTTTATCTGAACCTAAGATCATGGAGGCAGCCCTAGAGTTATATAGAGTACACAGAGAATCTAATCCCGATACTCAAGGTTCTCTCTAAGTTTGAGGTTTTGGTATTCCCATGTGCTCGACACATAAACATGCTCTTGTTGGATACATAGTGATAACCTGCAATTTTAAGAGTGCATCTCCATCTGTGAATATGTGTGCTTTCTTGGCCTGTCAGTTCCACTTCTTCCAGGGGGTGAATGGGCCTCAATTGGCCATTTCCAAAGAAGAAACGGCTAATCACTTCTTTTAGGATTAAGAAATATAAACAAAAGTTCTTCTCATGTTAATGAATTACTTGTTTGAGTGCGTCTTCTTGACCCCATTTTCCCACTAGTTTATTAATGTTGATTAGTTTTCGTTATTCAGTCATAACTGATTAATCTTGAGGGCTTATTATCTTTACTTGCTTGCAATCTTGAGGTGCTTGTGTACTTTGCGTTTCTGTTGGTAGATAGTACATCCTTATTCTCTACTTGCTGTAGATGTGCTTCGTGTGTAACTGGTCAAGGTAGAGTTACATAGGAAAACATTGATTTGCCACTGGGACACGGTTTGTCATGCATAATATTGCCACTTCTTGTCAGTTCACGGGGCAGAATTCAAATTGATTTCTGCACTGGATTTGATTAATCATTTAGAGGCGCATGTATTGGCTGGTGCTTGTTGAGTTCTGAAATTTCTTGGGCAGTAAAGTATTCTCTCCGTCCGAAAATACTTGTCGGTGAAATGGATGTATTTAGACGTATTTTAGTTCTAAATACATCATTTTTTATCCATTTCTCTGACAAGTATTTCCGGATGGAGTATGTCTGATGTGTGACTTCAACATGCCCGTCCTACTAATGTGCAGTTGAACAAAATCAATATACAATTACTAGGAGCTTGGAGAAAATGTGTGATGATGATGAATACACTCCGCTTGGAGTTGTTTTTTGAAACGAAAAACTAACTTTGTGGTAGGTGACAGCGAAAAAAGGGTAGTTCTATGGAAACCTTACCTTAGACCGGTAGTTTTATGCTATATACTCCATAGTTTTGAGTTGGAGACGCATTTCTGCATTTGTTGTTTGTGTCTTATATAAGTGATGGTCTCACATAAAATTAATAGTGTATTTTTTATATATATTTCTATTAGGTCCTACACAAATGAATAAAAAGTATACTTCTTTATTTATGTGTCTCGGAAATATTGCTAGTCCCACATGTAGATAGGGATGCATTTGTTTACCAATGAAGGTTGTTGATCTCATACGTGAATTTACCATCAATTCTAACCTTTATAAGTAGGATAAATGAAATGATTTGTCAATCTTTTATAGGCTGGACTCGGTCCACCGAAGCCCATTCTCTGCGGCTCAGCCCGCTTCTTCCCCAACTCCATCCTCTCCGCTCGCACGCACGCACGGCCGGACAACGGCACAACCCCACGGTAACGACACACTCCATCAGTGCCCACTCGCCGGCGGTGTCAGCAGATATGAACGCCGCCCACCGCCGAACAAATCCATGTGTTACTGCCCTAGTTTCTCGCGCGACTTCGCTTCGCGACGGGAGGGGATATTAACGGAGGGGTTGGCCACGGCGGCCAATGTCGGCGGCGACGGGCCACCCGCGACCTGCGCGTGGCCGGCCCCACCATCGCCATCTTCATCGACGCGCAAGAGGATCTGGCCCTCCAGTGACGGCGCGGCGCCGTCGACTGGATCTGCGGGCGGCGGCGACCCCCGATTCCCCAGCCCCCACGGCAACCAGCTGGCCATTCCCGCTTCCCGGGCCATCGCGTTGGCAGTTTGGCACCTCACCAGCGTGCCTCAGCCCTCAGGCGGGAGTCGTCCCAGCAGCACGGACGTTGGTCCAACCCTCGGATGCACCTTTGGGTTCACAAGTTAGAATCCGCCGAGATTCCACCCCAAGTCCAAGATTCCACCGCCGGGAACGCGGTATGTCATATTTTATCTCCTCCATCAGACCATCACTCAAGTCAAAACCTGAAAAGTCAAGCATTGTCATCATGTCGTGGGTGGGCAGGCAGATGAAATTGCATCGAAAGTCATGGGTTTGACGGGCATAATCATGTAGAGAAATGCAGATAGTAACAGCTACTCATGCAAATAATACTGGCTGACACTAACGCGAAAGCTGCGGGGCATGTATTGTATTGCAGGCTTGCAACTTCTTGGAAGATTAACTGCCATATTATATGGGGATAAGTATATTTTTTGTCCTTCAACTATTTCGAAAGTCTACAAATGATCCCTCAATTTTAAAACCAGCAAATGCTAGTCCCTCAACTTTCAAAACCGGATAAGTTTAGTCCTTCGTACCATTTAGGGTGGTTTGGTGCTGATGTGAACATGGTTTTAACTAAAACTAAACATGTCATGCAAGTTTGACCGCCATGTCACACAAGTTTGACCGCCACATTAGTATCCACAAACTCACCGTGGCCACTGTCATCGAGCCACTCCTCCTGTAGCATGTAGGAACTCGTGACAACGTACGGGTGCCGGCCAGAGGGCGTTGTGCTGCAGCAGCAGCACCTCCTCGGCAGCTCGTCAGGAGGCGCCAGCCGGCTGGGCTCAGGCGTGCTCTACGAGATTGCATATGGGTATTTACACGCGCCGAAGCTGGCTTGGGTTCCACCGGAAGACAATACACACGTACAGTAGAGCTGCTGGACGGATTCACAGGAGACTAGCTAGCTACGTTACTAGATGGATTTTCGCCGGATTGGGAAACGCCTTGACTCTCACCGGGAGAGGAGCTCGTGCCTCCGCCACGTACAACCGGGGCTTGAGAAGCACCTCGCCATGTTCTTAAGCAACCTCGATCGACAGTGTGCACGGAGACGGGTATCAGAGTCGAGCCTGGACGTGGATTCATCCGCATCAGCCGGTAGGGCCGTGCACAAGGTCGCCCATGGACATCCTTCGCTCGGCCCAGGACGCACTGATGACCCTCGAGTGGTGATGGCGGCTGCTGCGCAAAACCGCTCATCAGAGGCACCAGGACGTTGGTCGGGCTGCTGGGCATGATCTCGGTGTCGAAGAAGGGCACGCCGTAGACCTGCTATGCGTCCCTTGACACCACCGTCCGAAAATATAACACGCGCATGACATGTGTTTGATAAAATGCCAAGAAAAACCATGCCATGTCATCAACAAAATCACACAAAGCGTCATGAGGGACTAAACATATCCGGTTTGAGAAGTTGAGGGACTAGGTTTGCTGGTTTCGGACTTGAAGGACCATTTCTATACTTCGGAGAAAATTAAGGGATGAAATATACTTATCCCTATTATATGTAACTAAATGTTGTTGTCTCTGATCGATGGAGGACCAGAATTCAAACCTCAGTAGGTAAGCTGGTCAGCACTTTGTAGAACAGTGCTGGAGGATGCACCACCTATAAGGCTCTAACCATTCTTCTTCACCAGGAGCAAGAAGGGTCGCTGACTATGGTGTTAATCTCCAGCCTTCTTCTATGCTCGTTCTTGGCCCTTTCTCCCATAGCCTTTGCTGCTGATGTTACTAACACGCTCGGCAAGGGCCAGAATGTCACTGATGGCGAGACACTCGTCTCAGCCGATGGGTCATTCACCCTGGGCATCTTCTCCCCTGGGGTGGCTGCCGAGAGATATCTTGGTATATGGTTCACCATGTCCGAGGATGTCGTCAGTTGGGTAGCCAACTCTGACCGTCCTCTCACTGACGCTTTCGGGGTGTTGGTGATCAGTGGCACCGGAAGCCTTCTCCTGCTGGATAGCTCCGGTCAAGTCGTGTGGTCTTCAAACACGACGGGCACCGGCTTCATGACAGCGCAATTGCTCAATTCGGGCAATCTGGTCTTGAGCGACGGAAGCGGAGGCGCCGCCATGTGGCAGTCGTTCGACCACCTGTCGAACACGCAGCTTCCCGGCATGAAGATCGGCAAGAACCTGTGGACCGGTGCAGAGTGGCGACTTACGTCGTGGCATTCGCCGAACGACCCTTCCCCAGGTATCTTCCACTACACGACCAATTTGGAAGGCGTGACGCAAAACGGTCTCTTGGATGGTGATAAAGTGATATATCGCACCGGACCATGGAATGGCCTATGGTTCAGCGGTGTCACGGAGATGGCCACATATTCTGACTTTTTCGCCTACCAGTTGACAAATACCCCAAGCGAGGTAACCACTAACCTACGGTTATGTCGCCAAGCCTGGAGCACCCTTGTCACATCTACTGCTCACCCACGACGGAGTATTCCGGCGCCTAGTGTGGGAGCCGAGCAGCCGGGCATGGAAGGTCTTCTTCCAAGGGCCGAGGGACATTTGCGACGACTACGGGAAGTGCGGGGCATTTGGTATGTGCAATGCCAATGCGCCGTCGACATCATTCTGCAACTGCATCAAGGGGTTCAGCCCGACGTCTCCGGTGCAGTGGAAGATGAGGGACACCTCCATCGGATGCCACCGAAACGTCGTGTTGGACTGTGGCAATGGAGCTTCCACCACAGATGGTTTCGTGGTGATGCACGGAGTGAAGCTTCCTGATACACGCATGCGTCAGTGGATGCAAGCATCACGTTGGAAGAATGTAGGGCGAAGTGCCTGGTAAACTGTTCATGCCTAGGCTATGCAGCATTGGATATCCGGGGAGGAGGCGTTGGAACTGGGTGCATCATCTGGAAAGATGACCTCATGGATCTGCGGTATGTAGATGGAGGACAAACCCTCTATCTAAGATCTGCCAAGTCTGAATTACGTGCGTCCAGTTCTCCTTAAAGACTTGGTGTGAGCCCACTTTTACTTTCATAGGCCCATGAAATTTACGGTGACTTCTTTACTCAAGCCTGGATGTTTATTAAAACCAGACGGTAAGATAGTGCACAATCTGGGTATCTTTTAAATTCATTTTAAACTTCATGACTAGTGATAATCTCCATCTGCAGAATTAAGATTGATGATGGTAGAGTAATTATATTTTTGTGGTAGTCTGTTGGCAATCTAGATGGTAATCTTCCTTTTGTAGTTGCATCTGTCAAATTTCTTGAATTTAATGATAAACTAAGTTAGCAATACCACGAGTCCACGACTAGCAAGATAAAGAGAATCTAAACTTATTCTACAGAGGGAATACAAGTGGGTGCTCTCCGTTGCTTATGTCTATTGATAAACCGATACCATGCACGATCATGCTTTGCTATGCTGCTGTTTTGCCATCTGCTGAACTTGCCCTAACCGTGCATCTGAAATATGTTTTAAAACTGTAACAGCTGAGGTGCGGTACCGAGCATTTCCAACTGGGCTTATTATTGGTGCATCGATAGCCTCCCTTGCCGTGGTTCTCTTTTCTCTTTGGTTGTTCGCTGTTGTGAGGAGACGACGACGGGAATCAAGAATATCAGGTAACAACATGACCATGCACACTGATTGCTTTCACATCCCTTTCTTGCAATGATAAGGAGAATGCTGTAAACATTCTGATAAGCCTGATTGTTTTTCCAGTAGACAATGCCCAGGGAGGTGCAAATGGTGCTGGTGCTGATATTCGCTCCAATCCTGCTTCGACTGTCCAGTCCGTCTGTGCAGTTGGTCTTCCTACTATAACGGAGGCTACAGGAAATTTCTCTGAAGAAAATATCATCGGTGAGGGCGAATATAGTGTCGTCTATAAGGTATTATTTATTTCTTGTACATATCAACTGACATTTGTCACAGATTGACTACACAGTACACAGAGTAATGAAATCAGACTTCCTAACCACACCCTATAGTAGTTGATTGTACAAGACATATATCTACTGAATCTACATCGTAACATGGTACTGTATTATCACCAGGGGCAGCTACACGATGATACAATAGTTGCTGTGAAGAGGCTGAAACACTATCGTCTTACTAATAAAGGCAGGGAACATTTCTCAAGGGAAGTGGAAATGATGTCAAAGCTCATGCATGCCAATCTTGCTAAGCTCCTCTGGTATTGCCAGGAAGGAGACGAGTGGATATTAGTCTATGAGTGGATGGAGCGCCAGAGTTTGAATCTCTACATTTTTGGTACTACTAGTTCCAATGCATGACATGTTAATCTATCATTATGTACAGATGTAACCCACAACTATTCCGATCTGTTTTTGGCCTCACACACCTATTTGGAAATGCAGGGGAAGAAAACGGATTCCGTTCCTCACTGAATTGGTCGCAAAGACTGGGAGTAATTCATGGGATTGCCGTAGGCGTTAAATTTCTTCACGCAGAAGGATTCATTCACAGGGATCTAAAACCTGGCAATATACTTGTCAGTGACACGTGGCATCCCAAGATAGCGGACTTTGCCACCACGAAGCTGTTTATCGATGAGCAGACAAATCCGACACTAGTACTGACGCCGTATGATTGAAATATCCAACTCTTATAGTGTTACATATTCAAGTTAGACTACTTGGACATGAAGAATGTATGATTGTTCCTTTTCCCTGTTTCTCCATGTCCAAGAGACCTGAATTAACCCCATGTTTTGTGTTAAATGAAGGGGACATGTCGCTCCGGAGTATTCATCGGAAGGGGCCCTGACGTACAAGTGTGATGTATATAGTTTTGAAGTCCTGTTGTTGGAGATAGTCAGTGGAAAAAGGAGAACAAGCATTCAAACTTTCCTTCTTCATGTAAGTCTGCTCATGACAAAACATACTCCTCCCTTATGCATCCTCTTAATTTCTTCCCACTGAAATGGTGGCACTAAGTATGACGTAATCTTTGTTCAGCGTGCTACACAATATCCCAACACAAGTTAACCATCCACACATAGCCCTATCGAAAGACGAGTGCTATTCTGTATAACTGAGTTCTTTTTCTTTTTCTTTTTGCGGGCCTGGGAATTGTGGAATCAACAAAAGATCAGGGAGCTTCTTGATCCGCAAGTGGGTGAACCTAGAGGTGAGGTCTTATCAGGGCTAGCCAGATGCATCCAGATTGGCCTTCTCTACGTGCAGCATTTTCCTGAGCACAGGCCTTCAATGTCTGAAGTTGTGACAATGCTAACCGACACCGGCTCACGGCTCCCTACGCCATGGAAACCCACACCAAACAGCGGAGCAGTACCCGGCACACAACCCGGACAGAGCAGGACCTTCTTGCAGTGGCTATTCCACTCGTGTGGTCGTGACTTCGCGAGCCCACGCATGGTAGCTATGGTGTACTGCTTCGGTCTATCAGGGCGAGGCAGTGGCAGTGAAAGCGAAATAAGCCTAAAGTTGAGTGAATTGCAAGAAACCACCATATTTGGGGCTTATCTTGTAGAAAACAACATAGTCGCTAATCATTTGCAAAAGCCACCGCGGATTCAATAACAGTTTTGCAGATTGCACTGAACATGTAATTCCGCGCGGTTGAGGGCGTTTCCGACATGTGGGGCCCAATATGCGTGACGTGGCGTAACGGACGCGCTGACGGCGCCGTTTGAGCATACATCTTGTCGAGCCGGACCGACCAACCGACGGCGCCCGACCAGACCAGATCTGCTCCGTCCTCTCCCTCCAGCTCCAATCCATGGCGACGACGAAACCTAGCGGCGTGGACGGCGGCGGGGGAGTTGCTGCCGGTGGGGATGCTCCGGGCGGCGGTACTGGAGATCCGCCGGAGTTCTGCGGGAGCTCCAATCCGTCGAGCGCGCTGCCTCTTCCCCAACCGCCGTCGCCGCCGAAGTCGTTGGAATACGCGGCGGCTACTGCGTTCGCCCAGGCGGTTAAGGGCAATCCGACGGGCAGCCACCATTTTGCCTCCTCCTTCGGCGGTGTGGAGTAAGTCATCCTCGTCCTCCTTTGTCATTTCCCCGATTGGTATTCTAGGGTTAGGGTTGTAGTGTTAGGGTTCTATGGTTGGTGTTCTTGGGTAGTTGTAGTACGGCTAAGGTTGTAGTGTTAGGGTTCTAGCATTAGGGTTAGTGTTAGCTGTTAACTGAATTTTCAGTAAACTGTTAACTGTGTACTGAATTTATTGAACACTGTATATTGTTAACTGAATTTTTTGAAGACTGTTAAGTGGATTTTAACACTGTTAACTGAATTTCTGTTGCCAACAATTTTAACTCTATTAACTGAATATTGTGAACACTATTAACTGTTAACTGAATTTATTGATAATTGTATGTTGTTAACTGATTTTGTTTACACTGTTAACTGGATTTTAACACTCTAAACTGAATTTCTGTTGCCACCAATGAGACCTCTTAACAATAATTGTGAACAGTGTTAAATGCATTTTATCTGAATTTGTAGCTTGGATGATGAAGAATGGGAAGTGAGGTTCCATTTCCTAGACAGAGATAACTTGGAAAGAACAATCTGTTTATCAGACATAACCTTCTGGAATCTCATTGCCCTAATAGAGGTAGAAGGCTATAGTTCAAGGGATTTTATGTATTATGTTAGAGATCCAGGAGTTGGTGTGTCAGGAATGGAAGAATTAACTGATGATGACAAGGTGGAAGAAATGTTGGATGACATAGCTAGTAAAGGAAAGAATGTTGTTAACATTACAGTTATGAGAAGTGATGCACCTAGACCAGTTGATTTGAACATTGGTCATGCTTATGAAGAGCAGGTTCCTTTGTCAGAAATAGGTGTACCAGTTGTCTATGAGGTAGACAATTCAGGAGTTCTTTTCCCCAGTCCAGTGAAACCCCAACCACAGCCAGTCTAAGTAATGAACACACAGGAGATCTCTTGTTTGTTGAAGCAAAAGGGCCCAAGTGAACCTGAGTTTGCTTTGGACAATGGTAATGAGAGGCATGAGTATTTCATGGAGACAAACCAAGAGCAAGAGCACATTGAGCAGATGATGGAGCAGAAAAGAAATGAAGAAATTCAGAGGTACAGGAGTAATATGATACAAAGAGAGAAGTACAAGGCAGCAAAAAGAAAACTCCCACAGCTGCTTGCTGAGGAGTTCACTGATAGTGAAAGTGAGGATGAAGATCTTGAAGATGAGGACATATTGGCTAGGTTGGAGGCAATGAAGAGGCATAGGGATGATCCACTACATCACTTTGAAGGAGACACTGATGTAGAAGAGCTATATGGACCAGACGATGAGGAGGAGAATGAAGAAAGAGATGAAGAGGAAGAACAAGAGGAGCCACTAGATGAGGGCTTGAGAGGAGGAAGCAGTGTAGGAGGAAGCAGTTTAGGAGGTAGCAGCAGCACAGGAGGAAGTAAGAGGAGGGGGAAGGGGCCAACAACAAGATCCCATGCAAGTTTGGATCAAATCATAGAGCAAGACTGGGCACCTTCATCTGATGAGGAGAGCAACCCAGGTGACTTAAGTCAGGAAGAGAATGATTGTGCTCAGCTTCCACCATTTAAGCTACCAAATGTAGGAAGAGCAGGGCCAGAAAGAATAAAGTTAGGGTTTGGTATGATGAGGAGAGGGAAAACCCACAAGAACAATTTGTCAAGCAAATTTGTTTCCTAGATGTCCAGCAGTTCAGGAGGGCACTCCTAACATTTCACATCTCACAAAACAGGAACTACTCATTTCATAGGAATTGCTCAGATGGAGTTATTGTAGTTTGCAGTACACATGACTGTCCTTTTTTCATTGCTGCTTCCAAAATTGCACATGAGAAGACATTTTGCATGAAGAAAATGAACTTGTACCACAACTGTCCTGCTGTTGGAGAGAGCATCAAAGTCACTGTAAGATGGTTGGCACATGAGTGTGAGCAACAGTTAAGGTCTGGCATAAACACACCAGTCCAGGCAATAATTGACAATTTGAAGAAAAAACATGGAATTGAAGTGTCCATTCACATGGCCTACAGGGCAAGGAAAGCAGCTAAGGAAGTTGTCCAAGGAGATCAGAGGGCACAATACACTAGGATAAGGGATTACCTCCAAGCTGTGCTGGATACCAATCCTGAAAGTAGATGCATTGTGACAACAAAGCATTTAAAGCTTCATCCTAGCAAAAACCCTAGATTTCATGGCTTGTTCATGTGCCTCAATGCTTGCAAAGAGGGCTTTCTAAATGGTTGCAAACCCTTCATAGGTACTTGCATAATTATTTTCCCAACATATTTGCCATTGCTTTTGTTTATGTTTGGTGCTAATGTGTTATGTTTGGTTGTAGGTGTTGATGGTTGCTTTGTTAAGTTGACAACAGGGCAACAAATATTGGCTGCAACTGGAAGAGATGATAATAACAACATCTTTCCCATTGCATTTGCTATTGTTGACAAGGAGGACACTGCCAGCTGGTCTAACCCAGCTCAAGTATGCTCTTGGTGGTGAGTCAGGGAAGTATGTCAAGTACACTATCATATTTGATAGACAAAAGGTACCTCATACATCATAATTCTTATTTTTACTGAAGTTTTACCATGCTTAGTACTGTCAAATAGCATGTTGTTATACTATATTTTGAACACTAGTTATTTAAACAGGGCCTTCTTAAAGCCATAAACAATGTCTTCCCAAATTGCCCTCAAAGATACTGCCTTAGACATATTTATCAGAACTTTCAAACAGCTGGCTTTAGAGGTGAAGAGTTAAAGAAGTATATGGATCAGGCTAGTTATTCATATCTGAGCATGGTTTTGAACAAGCAATGGAAGGCATGAAAAGAGTGTGAGGCAGCTTGGAAATGGCTTAGAAAGATACCCAAGCATACATGGGCTAGACATGCCATGGACAAGAATTGTAAAACTGATTTGGTTGTTAATAATATTAGTGAAGTGTTCAACAAAATGATACTTGATGTGAGAGGGAAACCAATTAAAACCATGGTTGATGGCATCAGAACAAAATTGCTAGTTAAGTTCAATGCCAATAGGACCAAGACTGAGACAGCCAAGTGGCAGATATGCCCAACATATGCTGAGAAGTTAGAAGAAGCAAAACACCATGCTAGATATTGTCAGTCAATCAAAGCAGGACCTGATCTATACCAGGTTAGCAGTGGAGAAAGCACATATGCAGTAAATCTGCAAGTGCACACATGTGAGTGTAGCAAATGGGACATGACTGGTGTTCCATGCAAGCATGGTGTTTCTGCAATTAACAAGGCAAAACTTCATCCAGAAGATTTTGTTAGTGATTTCTTCAAGAAACCAATGTACCAAGCAGCCTACAATCCAATTGTGTATCCTGTGCCTGGGCCTGATCTATGGCCAAATACTGGGACCGCTGACATAAAGCCACCAGTTTTCAGAGACAAGCCAGGAAAGAAGCAGACTAAGAAGAGAAAGAATCAGTTTGAGAAGCCAGCTCCCAAAGATACTTGAAGGATGGCAACAATAACCTGCAGCAATTGCAACTTGACAAGGCATAGGTACACTAGCTGCCACAAAAATCTGAAGCCAGCCCTAGCAATGAGAAGGAACCAACACCAGGTTAAATCTTGTTTATATATGTTGTCACTGCAGGTTAAATCTTGTGTATATCTCTACTATTAAAGCAGAATCGAACGACGATCTGCTCACCTCCCCTCGTACGATAGTAACAGAAAGAAAAAATCTGCCAAAAACCTCACGCACCAAATCGACGCAAAATCAGGGAAAAACCCACTTCCTCCACCTTCTCCCCGACCCAATCTCCATCTCTCTCCCAGTCCCTAACTACCCACCCAGCGGCTGCCCCTCTCTCCGCCGAGAAAAATCGCCGGATCCCCGCCCCAAGCCCCCAAAACTCCTGCCACGGTTGGGGTCTCCGGTGTAGGAGGATCCACAGCC